GGCGCTGTGCCAGGGGCAGCGCCAGGGCCAGGGCCTCACCCCCCCCGTGTGGCCGGCCTGCTGCAGTGCCTGGCCGGCTGCACCCTCGGCGGCCTGCACAGCCCGCAGGATGCTGCTGTAGGCGTTGGCGGCCTCGATGGCCCGCTGGATGAACCGGTCCTGGTTGACTCCACGGATGATGCTGTGGAGGGTGGGGCCCAGCTATCCTCAGGCCAGCACATGGGCCCCACCATCAGTTGCTAGGCCAGCCTGCCTGTGGGGCCGGCCTCCTGTGAGGACAGTGACTTCTCCCTCTAGGATCCCCCGGACCAACTGTGCCCCCTGGAGGCCTTGACTACCCTGGCAGGGACCTGACTGTGTCCTTAGGGCCCCCCTCGTTGGGCCCCGCACCTGGAGAGGTTGTGCGCCAGCTGGTCCAGCTGCCGCGCGTGGGCCTCAGCAGCCTCCACCAGGTCCACCTTGCCACTGGCCGGGGAGAAGGCACGTATCTTCTCCAGCAACGGTGTCCAGGCCCCATCGAGGCTGGCAGCCAGGTGCTCATACTCCTGGGGGCAGAGGGGCTTGGTGAGACCCTTGTCCCCACCAAGCCCCTCTCGCTATCCTGATCTGGGACCCCAGGGGTCACACTCTGCATGCACACTCGTCCAACCTTGCCTGGGGTACGGCCTGGGAGGGGCAGTGCTCACCTCCTTGGCCCGGTCCATGCCGTGCAGAAGCTCAGAGACCCGGGCCAGGGTATCGCTGGCAGCCTGCAGCGTGTCCCTCAGAGTGGCATTGTCACGGAGCAGCTCCTGCTTCCAGTGCTGGAGGGATGAGGAGTGAACAGGAGGGGACAGAAACACAGAGGCAGGATGGGGTGAGGGGGTGGGTAATGGGGTGAGGGCTGAGGGGGTGAAGGAAGGTGATGGGAGAGGTGGGGCTTCAGGGCAGGGAGGGTGAAAGGGTGAGAGGAAGTGAGGGGAGTAAAGGAGGGGGAGGGAGGGGGGTTCCGCACCAGGGCCTCCTCCAGGCGCTCCTGGTTGCGGCTGTTGAGTTCCTCGGCCTCCCGTGTGGTGCTCACTGCCCGGTTCAGGGCTTCTCGCAAGTCCATGAGGCCAGCCTCATGCTGGGCCAGCTGGTCACGCGTGCGGGCAGCCAGCGCCTGGTTCCCCTCCCAGCGGCTGGTCAGCTGCTCCTGCACGCGGGCCAGCACTGGCAGACCCAATACAGGATGGTCACTTGGGCAGTGACCACTCCATGCTGACCTCAGCCCCGGGACTTCTGGCTGAGTCCTCGCCCCTCCCTCCCCACTGCTGCCCTGTGGGCCGACCACTCACGTCTCTGGGCCTCATCCAGCTCGGCCTCGGCCACTGCCCGCGGGGCCCCCAGGTCACGGGCCCGCATTTCCCCGAGCAGGCGGTCCACCTTGGCCAGTGTCTGACGCAGCTGCTCCCCGGATGGGGCGGAGGCATTGCCCGGCGACAGGTGGTCTGTCATCAGCTCTGAGCGTTTGAGAAGGCGCCGTCAAGCCCAGGGCAGACCTCGGCCCACTGGCTCCAGGCCGAGGCCCTGCCCTGGCATCATCAGCACATCCCAGGAAGCTCCCTGCCAGCCTGGCCCTCTGGCCCACACCCCTCACTCCACAGCCCCACAGCCCCATCCCTCTGCTCAGCCACGCCCTTGGCCAATCCCTCCTCCGGTCCAGCGCTCAGCTGACTGCACTTCTCCCGGACTCTCGGGCTGGACTAGGTCCCCTCTGATCTCTTCTTGGTGTTGCATTTCCGTTTGTAGTGATGGTGCGCACCATCGAGTTTTCCCAGAGAGATAGGGTGCCTGTGAGGGCTGCTCAGGCCCGTTCTGCAGTGTCCACCCGCCCTCGCGCTCTGGCCACACCCGCCACTGCTCCCACCTCCCGACCGCCCTGCTGTTCCCTGGGGGAGCACCATCTCCCCGCTGAAGCGTCTGGACACTGCCGGCTCCTCAAGGTCGAGCCGCCTGGAGGCAGACCCTGCTCTGAGCCTTGAGCATCGTCTGCTCACCCGCTGCCCCGCCTGCCTGGGCCAGCCCCTACCGCTCAGGGTTCGGTCCAGGGCCAGGATGGCCTTCAGCAGCGCCTGTGCCCGGCCCAGTGTGGCCTCTGTGCCGTCCAGCAGCTGTCCAGCCCTGACTCGGGCCCCTGTGGCCTGTGGACACAGTACGCCATCAGCCCACAGCCTCTGCTGGCTGGAGGGTGTGGGGAAAGGCCAGGGGCCTGGGGAGTAGCCTTGGGCCCGAGCTGAGGCTCAGGAGTGACAATGGATGGTTTGGGGCTCAGGGAGAGGGGCCTATGGGAGGAGTCTGCTGAAGGGGAGGGGCCTCGGGGCCTGCCTGGCTGTCCATCCGCTGGGCGTCCTGCCCGAGACTCTCGCTCTGTCTCTCCAGTGTCTCCAGCTGCCGTGCGGTCTCATGGCGGGGGCCTGCGGGGCTCCGGAGCTGGCTCTGGGGGGAAGGGACAGTGAGGGCCTGCCGCCCGGGCTGCGGAGGCCAGGGGCCACAGCTCAGTACCTGCAGGTCCGAGATGGAGGCATTCAGCCTGTGCAGCCGGGCCCAGGCCAGGGAGCTGGTGTTGACGCCTCGCAGCTGCTCCCGGATGGCGGGGAGGAGGGTGCCGGCCCGCTCCAGGTCGTCCAGGAGCAGGACCACACAGTGGTCACACACTGCGGGCAGGCGGCAGGTCAGTGCAGGGCGTGGGGTGGCCATGGGCAGGGAGGTCTCGGGTCCACGTGGTGGGGATGGGTCAGCCAGGGGTCATGGAATTGGCATGGGGGCACTGAGCTGGGCTACAGGGACAATGCTTGAGGGCCAGAGGTCTCACTGGGAGGGGGTCCGAGGTCAATAGAAGGACAGGTGTGGGGTCCCTCAGAAAACTGAGAGGGAAATTTGAGGCCACAGGACTCCTCTGCAAGTTCAAGTTAGTGCTGGGGTCACCAGGGCAGTGCCAAGCTGGGGTGAGACGGGTGTGGTCAGATGGGTGGAGGTGAGTGTGGGGACTCACCTTCGCAGTGCACGCCACCGCTCCCAGGACCGCCAGGCACCAGCACCTGATGCTGGTGGCTACAGGTGTCACAGCGCTCCCCGCTGAGCCCAGGGGGACACGTGCAGCGGCCCGTATGCACGTCACAGTGGCCCTCCTGGCACTGGCAGCCTGGGGCGGGGGTGGGGTAGGACAGGGTGTGTGGCTGGCAGAGGGACCTGGGTCCCGCCACCCTGAGGCGCCCCACCCCAGGGAGCCCGGCCTGTCGCACTCACGCCGGCAGCCCTGCTCGGGGAGCCCCCAGTGGCCGGGGGCACATTCTCGGCACTGGAGCCCCCCGGCCCCTGGCCAGCAATGACACTGTCCACTCTGGGGGTGGCACTCAGAGCCCTTGGAGGCTGGTCCACAGGCGCACGGGCGGCAGCCCCCGCAGCCCTCGAAGCCGAAGTGTCCTTCCTGCAGGCACAGGTGTGGTCACAGCTCTGCCCAGCCCTCAAGACCCGGCTTCCTCCCCTCCTTCAACCTTAAGTTTCTGCCCTGGCAACCCAGGCCCGCCTTCAGCCCTGAGGCCCCACCCCAGGCCCGCCCCTCCAGTCCCCAGGCCCCACCCCTGCAGCCCCAGGCCCACCTCCAGTCCCAAGACTCCACCCTCATACAACAAGGCTTGCCCCTCTCAGGCAGCCCTACCTGACAGCGGTCGCAGCGAGGTCCTGTCACACCTGCCTTGCACAGGCAGTACCCGCTATGGGGGTCACAGGCCTCGGTCCCACACGGGGAGCAGTCGCACCCTGTAGAAGATGGGCTGTGACAGCAGCCCTCCCCGCGCCAAGCTTCCTCCTGCCCCTCCATCTCCTGCCCCCACGGGAACCCCGGGACCTCACTTTGTACCCACCTCCTCCACCCCTGCTCCAGGCCACCCCAGATGGCCAGGCCCTCGCTCCCATCACACAGCTGCTGCTTCCGTCCCACTCTGCCCTCCTCCCCTGCAGCCCAGGCTCAGCCAGGCCTGGCAGGAGCCTCACGGGAGGCCTCGGCCGAGGCCAGGCCCCAAGCTGCCCTGGGTCACATGGGGGAGGACTGGCTGGGTCCACCCTCTTCCTGCTGGGCCCAGCAGGGGACACAGCCTGCTCCCAGGGGACACCCAGCATCGCCCCCACACACACTGGACCACTTCTCCCCTGGCGCCTACGGGTGCAGTTGCCAGGCAGCAGGGCGTTGCCATAGAAGCCCGGGGCGCAGGTCTCGCAGTGGGGCCCAGTGGTGTGGCGCAGGCAGCTGTGGCAAGCGCCCGTCAGGGGGTCGCAGTCCTTGAAGATCATGTTGGGGTCCCCGTTGCCGCTGCAGTTGCAGGGCTGGCATGAGCTGCCCAGCACCAGCGGGTTGCCGAAGAAGCCAGGGGCACACCTGAGATGAGGGCGGGGTCAGCAGCCGGTGTGGCCGTGCTCGAGTCCCGCCCCCACCCCCAGCCCAGCTTGCCCCCAGCCGGTCCTGCCAGGCTCACCGCTCACAGGAGGCTCCTGCGTAGCCGGGTTTGCAGAGACACTGGGGGCGGCCGCCTGGAAAGACGCAGCCCACCGCGAAGCTACAAAAACGGAGGGTTGTCACGCACCTGCACACCCCGCGGGAGCACCTGCGTATCCAGGCTGGGCCACCGCCGTCGCCGGGACCTCCCGGGGGCCAGTGCCGACTCCGTTTTTCCCCAAATTATGAAATACCAATAATATCAACAGGCGACACCGGGCAGGGGCAGCTGACGCAGGGGGCTGCAGGGTCCTCTGTCCCAATGCGCACGAAGCCAGCCTGGCAGCGCTCACAGTGGTCGCCCTCGGTGTTGTGCTGGCAGTCCTGGGCGGAGGGACAGGTCAGCGCTGACGGTGGAGGCCCCAGTTCCCACCCCAACCCGGCTGGGGGCCGTGCCCAGGGCGCTGACCCACAGGTCCCCCGTGGCTCCCTCCACCGAGTCCCACTCACCATGCAGGTGCCCACGCCTGGGATGCAGAGGTCTGAGTGGCCATGGCACTGACAGGGGATGCAGCGACCCAGAAAGAGACCTTTGATGTCTCGGTAGTAGCCAGGGGCACATTCCTGGGGGGGGGGCATCGGTGGTCAGGAAAGGAGGCTCACAGGTCAGATTCAGACCAGCGGTGGACAGGGCAGTGGATGGTCAGGGGCTGGCAGGGACACGGGGTAACAGTAGACTAGCAGACAGATGAGCAAGTGGCTGGCTCAGCCTGCAGCGGGAAGGTCGGGGTGCTTGGAGGGTGACACCAGCGGGTGGAGAGAAGGGTTAGTGACACCAATGGGGATGGAAGGCAAGAGTGGACGTGGGGGTGGGGGGCAGATGTGCGTGGGTGGGGCAGACTGACGGTGCCTGCCCCTCCCCACCTCACCTGGCACGAGTCCCCGAGGTAATTGGCCGGGCACATGCACAGCTCCACATTGCTGGCCAGAGGTCCCCCGCCCATCTTGCTGGCCACCTCCAGTGCCACCTTGCCCAGGGAGACGGCCCTGGAGAACTTGGAGAAGAGGGCGCGGATCTGCAGCTGCTGCAGGCCGGCCAGCACCATCATGAGCTCCTCGCGGGACACGGCGCTGTGGGTCTCCGTGTGCCGGAAGTTACCCTGCAGGGCCACCACAGTCTCAGGGGGGCAGACCAGGAGCCCAGAACACACCCTCCCGTGGGGACGGGCTCCCAGGTCATGTGGGGCAGGAGGCGGTTACACTCGAAGCTGGAACCACCCATCCTGGGGGAAGTAGCGCCGGTCCCTACCTCGCCATGCACAAAAGCCAGCTTGGGCACGTGAGATTTTAAACACACAAAGGTAGTTTAAGCTTTTAGAGAAAACATATGTGCGTGTTCCTGATCTCAGAGAGACAAATACTTCCTTAAGAGAGACACAACAATAACAACTGCCAATGAGAAACCCATGAATCTGAGCACAGAAAGTGTCAGAACCGTTCTTCAGAAGACATCTTAGCAAAGACAGGTGAGCTGGCCGCTGGGCGGCAACGGCCATGTCTCCAAAGACAGGAATCACTCAGAGCTCCTCCCAGAGGATAGACAGGCCGAGAGAAGTGGGCAAAGACACACACAGGGCCCAGCTGTGAGCAGGGATGAGGGGCCAGCAGGGGCTGGGCGCGCTGCCCACGGGCAACCACAAAAGCGAGCGTGGGACCAGCCCTGTCCTGCTCCCGGACCACCTTCCAACACGAGTGGGCACAGCAGTCCTGGCCCCTTTGGCCTTTTCTGGGCCCCACTGGGTTCTGAAGGGACGTGGGCTCCAGCCAGCTCCACTCACTTCCACCAGCTGCAGCCGCCCCTGGTGCACGTGCCCGGGCGCCGAGTGTCCCGGCTCCAGGAACATGATGCTCATCTGGTTGCCCTGGGGAGGTGGGCACATGCGTGGTCAGGGCTGCCCACTGTCCTGGCTCGGCTGTGCCCGCCCCCACCCGCCCCACCGCCCCGGCAGCCACCTGCAGCAGCACGTCTGGCCTGCTCTCTGTAGGGAGGAACACGTCTCCCCGCTGGCTCTCCGCGTGCAGCTCATAGCGGAGCGTCCCCCCGTAGGACGACACCTGGAGAGGGGACCGAGGAGTGTGACCTGCCAGGCCCTTGCCACAGCCAGCGTCTTGAGCAACACTGTGCTGGTCCTGCGGGTTCTTGGAGCCCCCACGCCTCCCAGGACACGGCACCCTCCTGAGCCCGATGTGCCCGCTCACCCGGTCCCCCAGGTAGGAGGGCGGTGCGTGCCAGTACAGCTCCGGGATGGTCTCGGGGACATGCTGCAGATCCGCGTGGAGCAGCCCCGTCTCCGCCCGCAGCTCGTGGGGCACCACTTGCCGGTCACTGCTCAGCAGCATCCAGCCCTCCATGTCCACGAACTGTGGGCACACAGGCGGGGCACCCCATGAGCCCCCACATGTCACAGGGCCCACCCCACACTGCAAACCCGCCAACTGTGGGCGCACGGGCGGGGCACCCCGTGAGCCCCCACATGTCACAGGGCCCACCCCACACTGCAAACCCGCGGTGGGGGCAGCATGTGCCCTCCCGGAAGTGGGGAGCCTCTGGCGGCCCTGCTCACGCACCTCCTGGCGGGTGTGGACGGAGCTCCCGCAGCGCTCCGTGGCACCGAAGCAGAAGCAGCGGGTGCAGCCTTTGGGGTTGGCAGCGTCCAGGGAGAAGGTTCCCAGGCGGCACTGGTCACATCGGGGGCCCTGAACGTTCTCCTGGGCAGGAGGCCAGGGCAAGGCGGTTGGCCAGCGATGTCCTGGCCCTCAGCCGCCTCGGCTCACTGTCAACCCCTTGCCAACGGGCCACTCTCCCAAAAGCTTCTGGGGAGCCCGCCCTGCCCCCGCAGCCTCCTGTCCCTCACCTTGCAGTGACACTGGCCCGTGAGGGGGTCACACACGCCTGGCGCAGAGCCGGCCGGGTGGCAGTCACAGGGGCGGCAGCTGGGGTAG